ACTATAATAGCTAATTAAAATAACTTATTGTGATAGTTAATTAGAATGACTAAATACATAAACTAACTATAATAACTATAAGTTATACATCTTGAATCGGGGTCTGGGGTAAATTGGAGTTTCATTTTATATAAAAGTAGTCCGACCTCTAAAATCTGATGTGTCATGAGGGCAGCGTATCGACAGACTGTTCTCACCAGAAGTTCTCCAAAAAACCTTCTCTGTTTTTCTGCCAGGAGAACAAACTCGAACAATATCGTCGAATTCTGTGGATGAAATTGAATTAAGAAATTCGACTTTAAGCGAAGATTCTTTAATTGTTGGATTTGCGGGTTGGATTTTTACTTTAAAATGTATGATATTTATATCGAATGATATTTATATCGAATGATATTTATATCAAATGATATTTATATCGTATGATATTTATATCGAATGTATGATATTTATAAACGAATGGATCGGATATTGACATGTTATCCGATATATATCGCGGCCGATAAAAATTGCAAATACTTCGTAAGTATCCCACGCCTATAGATTGTCAGATTATACCAGGGACAAAAGGAAATCGCGGCATATACGGAATCGCGAGTTTTCCCATTATTTATGCGACAAATTTTATGTATAGTATATTAATTTAGTAGTCTGTTAAAATACCGCGGTATCGCGATTTATTCTATTTTTTGCCAAAATAATCGAGCGAAATCCTTTTGTCCCTGGATTATACGCTTGTATTGGTTAATATTTAGTTAGATTTACTTAAAGGACTCCCTTAAATTTGTTATATGATATGCACAAACGAAGGGATTAGAAATTTACTCGGCATTTATCGTTAAATAAAAATTGCAAATACTAGGAGATTGCTTCCTAACCTTAAAGTTTAAGGTTGGGAATCCATTTCCAAGTAATTGCAAGTTGACTAAAACTCTTAACTATGATTATTACATGATTAAATTGTGGTAAGTTTGGTGGTATTTCCAATAAACCACCATGCATTCGAGTTAGAATTTGACAAATTTTTGGGGGAATCATTTAACAAAATTGCGACAGCTTTAATATTACATAATTTTAGATTTCATGGATACTTTTTGATAACAAATTATCATTATAACTGATGATTTATTGATAATTTTCTACTAACTTTCCAATAAATATAACATACGATCTGCTCAAATTCGGTAAGGATTGGGATAAAATAAACATGAAATGTGGTACAATTCTTGATACGTAAGTGGCAGCTATATTCCCATGAATGAGCCATCATTTGACTGCGAGCTATACTTTCGGAAATCCATCGACGAGAAATAATGATATTGATTTAGATTATCGTGGGATAAATTTTAACATACCTTGATTTAAAATCTGAAGTGATAATAATTAATAAACATATTTAACATAATTAACATAATTAATAAACATAATTAATAAACATAATTAATAAACATAATTAATAAACATAATTAATAAACATAATTAATAAACATAATTAATAAACATAATTAATAAACATAATTAATAAACATTTAGTCTCTAACCTGACACAGATCCAAGGCATCACAGAAAAGTTCTAACCGGCTGAAATGTTCCCACAACTCATTTACCAGCCCCAACCTCACTCCACCTTTGTATAAATCTACTAAAATCTGCCGGAGAGAGATGTGTTATAGAACAAGGTTTGGTTAAATAAAAAAACAACATTGAGCTGAAACACTAATCTTAACTCTAAAACTTTACTTCATACTGTACTAATTAATTTTTTCTTGAGAAAACGCAAAAGATTTACCAGAGACCCTCCTTAATCCTTATTATATCTACCATGAACCATCCAAAACAAACCTGTCCGTTGACGGATGAAGATAACTTGTTGGGATCATAATGCTTCACAACAGCAACACAGCTCAGGTCGTATAGTCTGGATATCATTGTAACAGGGCATGACGCCACGGCTATTTCAGTCTGATGTGGTAACGTGTTAGGGGTCCCCCCGGTGTGGTTTCCATATTACGTCATAATTTATTGAACAATTTTACCCCCCCCCCCCCCCCCCCCCTCTGTAATCCAGTTTTACACAACGCTATTGTGTCGAAATTAAACTAGCGTAATCATTTTTTTTTGGTTCACTCCCATATTAGACCCCTATGAACACTGAATTGTGAATAGTATTGGTGCATCTACATCTGGACAAATCTTCCAAGCGGTATTTCCAAGCAGATTATTTAGGATTTGGATGTGGCTTAAGATGAAATTTAATTTGTCTTGTGACTGACAGTTAATTTAACCATTATATCGTAGGCAATGACGCCACTTGCCACGCCTTCCTCTCAGTCTCAGGCTTGAAGACAAGCTGAAAGACAAGCTGGTATGATCAATATTATCGGTCTAAACTTCATGATGTGCCCTTGTCCTTCCAGTTTTTGAAAACTTTCAATCAGTCTCAGGTTTCGCTCGTTCCTGTCCGTTATGTCCGTTCACGGGTCAACTGAGAGCCAGACGTTTGATGTTTACTATCCTTTATCATTAACATTATGTTTTGATACAACTTGTGAGGGCCAACTACCAGGTACTGAGGTAGATACTTGAACTTTACTGGACGACACAGTCAGCATGTCACTCACTCCGCAAGCAGTACATGGTCACACCCCCATATCCTCCGTTCGTTATATGAACACTTAAAAAAACGATTAACCTCATCAGCTTGTGCGCCTGGAGTCCCCAGGTTGCAGGTTATAACTTGGACTTAGATTATCAAGATGTTCAATCCACTGTCAAATTTTAGTAATCGTTTGACAACTCACTTACAAAATGTCTGGCAGTACGGCTCTACTAACCGGACTAAGGGTTAGTTGGCCGTCAGCAGAGATATTTAATATACCTGACAAGTTTGAACTAGTTTAATATATGTCACATATCGGGGCAAGGTATTTACTGTTAGGCTCGGGTTCAGCTGCTATAGGTTATGATTTGTCAGTTCATGTCGAGAGAGAATCCTAACTTGTAAATAGGACTACAGTGCTGCACGCCGCCGTTTTTTTTCAAAACGGTGGCGGCGTGGTTAAAATCGTCGGCGGCGGCGTAATCGGCGTGAGATCACGTGATTTCGCAGATTAAATTTTACTATAGAAATCAAGGAAAAATAAAAAAAATAATCCCATGTTGTGACCAATTTTTTTAACATTGTTTGATTTTGACACAAGGCTCGATAATAACTATAGTATGTAGTATAAACAAATTCAACTTCACGCCGTATACGCCGTCGGAAACGGCGGCGGTGCGCGGCGTGGCCGGAAAATCATCGGCGGCGGCGGCGTGCAGCACTGTAGGACTAATACCCCAATCCAATTTATGACTAAATTTTGACAAGACATGTTTGGCAATTTCAGGGATGGCTGTACAAACAATCATACTTCAAAAAATCGTCTTTAATTTCGCTCTTCTACCGCGGAATAGTATGGTATCCGAATACGTTATACTATAAGTATAGCGGATACCATACTATACCGTGTAGAAGAGCCGTAATTTTAAAGCTATATTTTTGAAAGAAATGTAAATTGTTTGACAGCCATCCCTGAAATTGCCAACAGTTTTAAAGTTATAGGTATGAGGTATGTTTTTTTAGTATGGTTACCCGTATACTTTAATTATAGGTTGAGGTATGTTTTAGTATGGTACCGTAAACTTATAGTTTTATAGGGTTGAGTAGTGTTTTAGTATGGTATCCGTATACTTATAGTTATAGGTTGAGGTAGTGTTTTAGTATGGTATCCGTATACTTATAGTTATAGGTTGAGGTAGTGTTTTAGTATGGTATCCGTATACTTATAGTTATAGGTTGAGGTAGTGTTTTAGTATGGTATCCGTATACTTATAGTAATAGTTATGAGGTAGTGTTTTAACGCTAAAAATGAACACAATTTAATATTACAATATATTATACTTAATTGATATTTTTTGTATTAAACACGGCGTGGGTGCTAACTAAATAAGTGCAAGTACCCAACAAGATCTTTATAAATTGGGGTGCACTCCCCCTCCCCCCCCCCCCCCCCCCTTCCCACCCGTAAACAAGGCCACCTCGATCCTGGTCTATGATTGATCACAATAATTATAATTCACAAGTAAAAAGAGATGTTTTTAATCAATACAAAATAATTCCAGTCTCTACCCTGTAAGTGTAGTGACACTGTGTCTGTACAGTGTACAGTGTATATGTAGGAAACGTACAGTTTTCACGCTACTTTTCGATTATTACCGTCGGAAATATTGTCACTATCAAGATCACAAGGATAAAAAGAACCAAATGGAAACAATTACAAAACTGTACTAGTATGTGACGCATCACGTATGCCAATTCATTGTAAAATTACGCATAAGCATGTGTATTCAAATAGAACGACCTATTAATAGCAATTCACAGATTTAAAATAGAATTAGGCTTGTTATGATGACACGAGCATGTGCAGACACGTGACTAATTACATTAGCATTGCCATGGTAACACGTGGGGTGTCACGTGGTACTTTCTTATACAGTGCATATACTGTCACGTGGTTTCGTTAATTAGGCAGACAGCTTTTCTCTTAAAGTTGGCTTACTCTTTGGCAGATACTGTTGTAGTGTATAAACTAAGCGTGGTCACTTAATTAGATTGAATTTCATGCAAATTGCTTCAATTAATTACCGCAATTTATGTTCACACATTTCGGTTTTTGATTTGCGGTACCTTCTGAACGAAACGTAATTTTAAAGTGATTAGCATATATTATACATGTTATAGGTAATATTGAATACTTATTGTATGTGTTGAAGAAGGATGATATAATTCTAAATTTTAATATCATTTAATCACTTAATCTGTTGACAGCTTTGAATCCAGCTCCGGTATTTCTTAAAAACTCGATAATTGATCACTCGTGATATTTATAGTTTGAATGAACTGTGAAACTAATTTCAATAATTTGGACGAGCATTTTTAACAAAGAAAACACATCGGATCAAAAGTTCATGCAAACGGAATCTCAAATAAGATTGCAAAATGAATAAAAATAACTTACCACAAAAACTATACAAATTGTTGTACATTATTTATGTTTCTTTTCAAAATGAACAATTGTTATATCTTTTTATTTGATTTATCACGATTTAAATAAAAGGAGAGAAAAACTTAAAAATCTAAATAAAATGTATAATACTACAGTCCATCGGTAAAGAATTTTAGTCCTCGATGATTTTACAACACAGCTTCCTAAATTTTCCCACAGCTGCAAAGTTGTTACTTTGTTAGCACTTAATGCTTAAAAAGTTAATATAGAGTAAGAAAGCTAAGTGTCATGAAAATATAACTATGGACCCAATTCAAGGAACTCCGTGGAATCTAATCAGAATATATCACCTACAAATAACAACTTCATTTAATCTAATGTTTACCATATTTGGGCATGAGATAACCCAACTCAGTCCTAGCCACTCAGCAACAACTCAATGTTTACCATATTTGGGCATGAGATAACCCAACTCAGTCCTAGCCACTCAGCAACAACTCAATGTTTACCATATTTGGGCATGAGATAACCCAACTCAGTCCTAGCCACTCAGCAACGACTCAAGATAAGTGTGACACGCAGGATCACTCTATCAAGTGTTCATTAAATAAATATCTATTCATGCAAGCAAGTTATAGTTCTCTAAATCCTGTTCTTTCTGAGATGACAATAATCTCGCGGACACTCAGGTTCAATACAGTTTCTGAACACCAGCTTTTTTTACCCAGAAAGTATACACTACAGACATTGATCCTCTCCTGTTTCTTCCCTCCAAACCTTCTGGATATTTCTCCAGCTAAATGATCGGAGAAAGAGGGACGAAGTCAAGGTCCGGGGGTGGAGGTTGAAGTGTGGTCCGAAGGTGGGTGCGGAGATCCTCTCAGAAGGAAGTCTGTCTGAACACAGGATAGGTGGGGGGCTGGGTCACGTGACCATTCTCGTTGTTCCTTGTCGGACACAGTACAGAATTAGTTACCTGAGCCTGGGGTTACAGCAGTCAGCGCTATAGTCAGCTTTGTTACAACATGTGCTACATAGTGCACATACTAGCACTTCATACTGGCACTATGATAACACCAACAGGTGCATAGTGCTACATAGTGCATACTAGCACTACGATAACATGTGCATAGTGCTACATAGTGCATACTAGCACTACGATAACATGTGCATAGTGCTACATAGTGCATACTAGCACTTTAAAAGTGCTATAGAAGTATTTGATAGGGCTACATACTGCAGACTTGGTGCTACATTTTAAGACACTAGCACTGGAGTGCAGTGCTAGAGTATGCTCTTGGGTGCTTCATACACCTCAGTAATATAAATAGGGCGATAGAGTTTAAAAGATTGACTAGGTTCTCAACAGAGAATTTAAACCTATCACGTTCTACATGCTTATACATAATTTTTAATACCAGGATACACACAGATATTGAAAAATAATCAAAATTCGCACAATTAGCCCGCGTAGAATAATGATTGAGGTTGCTCTGATTTACTTGCTGATCGACATCTGAAAACAAAAACTTGCCAGCTTTTTTACAAAGAATTCATTAGAAAGTTAGAAGGCTAGAGGATGTGCTTCACTAGCTGAGACTTTTGATAGCCGTGTTTGCGCTTTGCTGCCTACAATTTTATAACTTTGCGAAAGGTTATTAAATTTAGTTATGAAATTAAAATTCAACAGAATGTATAGTATAGTCAGAGGAATGTAATGAGAGTCCAGAATCTCCCATCGAAGAAAAGTCGCCAAAAACCCAACATTCATGGCTACGGGCCAATAATTAAGAATAATGTTAGGCACTTACCCGTAATCCCCATTATTGCCGTGGAAGTTGAAGTGGAAGTGCGTTTCTAATCCGGAGGTCGGAGATACGCTGAAATTATTAAGAGATAAAAGCGAAAATAACTCCGAGAACAATCTCAATTCATTCAATTATTGTTAACATCTTCTGTCGTATCATCAAATGAATAAATGCATCACTATGATTTAAAAAGAGTACGAGTGCCGATAAAAAAGTAGAGAATAAGACTATGTTCAACGTATGAATCGGTGGTAGGGGTAGTGGATTCTAACACAATCACGTTCATTGGAATACAATGTTATACAATATACACTTATTATACAGGGGTGAACTGAGTAAAGTTGAACGATGAATTAATTAGAATTGAGAGTTCAGCTCTTTGCAATGAGCTTATAGTGATACAATCCTAGTTCCTATAATCAGCACTCAGTCATGCAAGAGAAGAGTCATAAACAAACTTGATAAAGCAGAAAAACAATATCAAATTAGGAGTACCAGTTCAAAACACTGAGTGTACAATGGATTGAGAAAGAAAGTGGTTGCAAAAAACCCAATCCCCAAAATATCCGACAAGAATAGGCCTGGAAGTTAGAACGTAGGCGTTACTAGAGTATTAAATTCAAGCAGGGTGAAGATTAATTCCAGTGAACACAAGTGTACCTACTTTGTAACACTAAATTTAACACCCCTTCCTGTTCTGTTACTCGGATACGACAAGCTGTACCTATTACTACGACGTGTAGACCGGTAATCACTGAAACAATACTCACACTCATATCAAACTACATTCCAATCACAAACACTTCAAACCATGCTTGGTAGCATACTACAGCTCATGTGATAGCTGCACGTTACATCACTACATTAGTTACATGAAGCTTACCAATTGTAATGGGGATCGTAATTTTGCAAGGGGTCATTATTCCTGTATAAGTTAAATTGGTACCCTATACTTTTATTAGAATATTAGATGAGGTATAATTTTATAAATAATTTCTACAATTAGCAATAAATAGATATGCCGATGTAACCTCGACTAAAAGTGTATCAAAAGTTCCATAGTTGCATTTTTGACATGAAACTTTGGCTGGATCTCAATTTCACAAAATTATAAAAGAAAGAAAGACGTACTGGAAAGTTTCAATAGGATAAACTGCTCTGGGCGAATGAGAGGGTCCGACATCGAAATTAGCTGCTGAAGAGGGACCTCCGATGCGAACACCTACTTCTATAGGTGGTTTTGGTGGATACCCCTACAAGGATTAACGATTAATTCAGCAATCAGCTTCGTTGAAATCGCAGTCACACAAAAACTGTGCAACTTTTACAATTCTAGTTCAAACGCGATTCTATAAAGATTTAAATAAAAAATCACAGTTTCTTACATTATGCCCAACTTCCGGAGGTCGGTCGTAGAACAGATGTCTGCTGTCCCTGTAATTTCTGACGTCTGGCGAATGGGATCTGAAAAAAAAAACACTGTATAATACATTGCTGAACAGCTGTAATCACAGAACACTTCATGATGAGAAACTGCAAAATGTTTGTGAAAACTCAGAAAATGAAGTGAAAACATTTAAAAAGGGTTAACATTACCTCGAGGAGGGTCTATTATATCCGAGTACAGGACTTCTGGGTGCGATATGCCGTGCCCCCGGACTACTACTCCTGTTGTAAGCTCGAGGAGAACTGCTCCTGTTATGGGAATGTCCGGCTGGTGAGCTACTTCGGTTGTAGCCTCGAGGTGAGCTACTTCTGTGTTGTGCCTGAGGTGAGCTACTCCGGTATCTATCGTGTCCGGAGTGGTCCGGAGAGGCACCTCGTCCTGATCTTACGTCGAAATCTGCTGGACTTCTGACAGGAGGGGAATTTCGACTTTTGAGAATAAATATTTTATTCCCTTTATTCTGATAATCTGTTTTCGCTCTCTTGAGTCTAGTGGGTCGATCATATAATTGATATTTTTGAGGAAAAAGTGAGAGTCTCCACTCAGTTTTTCAAATAAATCGAAAAGTAGAGTCATATGCACGGTAGGTTGATATGATTGTTCTTTTAATGGACTTCATTTACACATTCAATTTAACAACAAGGATCTTTTCCACACTTACCCACACTGTAGCCGTCTCAGTCTATCACGGATAGCCTCTCTGTTATTGTTCCTGGGAGGTAGGACAGGAGAAGAGGATCTGGAAGAGTTTATAGAGGACCTCAGATTACGGAGACGATCCGCCAGCTCCTGGACGTCATCACGTACCATCGATATCTCGGATCTGAACCTGTGGAACAGATCTGTGAAGTTTCCATCTCTCAACAGAGAGAGAGAGAGAGTTTGTAGAAGACGTATAACACAGGTATTTAAGTATTTAGTATACCAAAATCTAATCGGGCAGTTAATCAATTAATGAAAGTTTAAGACTATATCTTACGGAAGTGCAAAACAGAATCAAACCGTCCGACTTACTCCTGAGCTGATCTGGGGGAGGTCTTAGGGCTGCCGAGTGAGACCTGTCTGTTAGGTGAGGACTTCCTGCTTCCTTCCTCGTTGTATCCACTGTCGTACCCAGCTGTAACTACCTTGTTATCCCTCCTCAGCACTCTGTGGGTTGTGATAGTTGCAAAAGTGATATTCGGAGCAACGCTGAAAACTTAAAACGTTATTAAATACTTGTGATCGAATTTATATTTCAACATATTGAATTAGAGCACAAAGTTTATGCAGCTTCGATCAAATGATAACTTCAAAGAGTACCTGGATCTCTTGGCTCTGATGGGTTGCCTCTTAGCGATCTCTTCATCAACACTTCCCTTCCTTCCATCATATTGCCGGGTAGAAGTATTGTTCTCAAACTGTCGGGGCGAGACACTGTTATTCTCGAACTGTCGAGGTGAGGCTTCACTGTTCCGTCTAGCTTCACTTCTTCCTGACATGATATCCTGTACTTCACAGTTGTATTCACTGTTCGCATAGCTGCCCGGGCCTGGGTTGAAGTCCTGAAAGTAGGCTTTTAGTGAATCAGCTACTGTAAATTAGTTACGTTTCATTCGCGTCTTATACTGTTCATATTGTAACTTCTCAGAGGAGATTATTGGTAGTAAGTTAAAATAGTGTAACAAGTTTTTATAAGTCCTAAGATTACAAAGATCATTATCAACAGCAGAAGCTTATTGGACGGTAAGTCCAGCTAAAAAGATAAGGGAACTAACATATCCTTTAGCAGGAGTAGAGGCCCGTGAGGGAGGTTGAGACCCAACAATAGGAGTGCAGTACAACATCCGTTTGGAATTGGAGGAAGCTATCGAGTTGTCTGAGTTACTGACTTTTAAACCTCCCTGACCGTTCCGTGAGGAGGATCTCGGGACTCCCTTCCTGTGGGATTTATTAAGATTATAATACGTGCGGCTAGAATAATTCTATGAAGAGAGACTGTTATTTTATATTTGGACTGTAAGGAGTGTGTGATTATCATCGTCATACTGTGAATTCCCAAGGGTTTTTAAAATTTACCATTATCCCGAAAGATGATTTTGTATACCTTACAAAAATTAGAGTGTACAAATTCGACTTAATTTTCGTGAACGTCAGGGCAGTTCTAACCGACTAAACGCCGTACATCTACGAACAGTAGTTACCCCATCTGTTATTTCATGTTTTATTCTACACTATTTTTTGTATCATCCTCCACTGGAAGATAACAGTTCTTTAGCAACCGCCAGTTGCAAAAGATAGATCCAAACCCAAATCCTAGGGTTACAAGAGACGCTGAGACGTGGTACTGGTAGCATGTGAGCGTGTATACCGCTCTGCTATGATACAATAGTTTTAAAGGTGATGCGATCGATTAAATCCACCAGGACGCCAATTAGACTTAGATCCACTAAAATGAGCGTTGAATATTCAGTGTGGTTGTAAGATCCGTATACGAGCCGCCAAATTGTTCAAAATTATCTGGTGTTCTAGGCTAGGGAACGTGTGTAACAAAAGGTTTGAAGGCAAGGAAGATTGCTGACCGCCCGGCGCCCTCTTTACGTTTTCTATCCTTCTAAGAGCCCCAGGGGATTAGCATAATAATGTCATAGCCTCGCCTACCCTAGCTGCGAGATTACTCGCGTTGCATTATTGAAAACGCCAACTTGGAGCTGTTGCTTTGACAAAAACTGGCTTTTCTAGATGGTGAAATTTGCAAGCCTTTGGTCTATTTGCAAGCTTTTGGTTTATTAACTCGACAGCCTGATGCCTGATGACGTTGAAACTAGGCTTTACCCCACTCAGTATGATCATTTTACTGCCCAGTTTAAGCTCTTAAACTCGCAACACGCGACAGTGTAAAAATGGGTTTTGGCCTAATAACTCAGCAATCCGATAACTAATAACTTTGACATTATGCTCTACCCAACTCAATGTGATCATTTCGAAAATTTAAATGTCGAAGTTGATCATTTAGCTTCTTTAGAATCCGAGATATCTTATTATAAAGTGCTGTAATTGCTATTTTTTCCAAAATATAATGTGTTTTGAATTTATTTGTTCGATCCGACAGAATAATCCCCCGTAACAGCCTCTTCTATATACGACTGGAGAGAGAATCGAGTCATAGACCAGCAACGGGTAAATAATAAAATCCAGCCAAATCTACAATTGCTTAACACTATAACCTGTAATGAATACTGGTTATTCTGTAATACCTTAGGGCTAATAAAATTTGGTTCCCATAAATTTTTGTTACACATAACTTTTAGTCACAAATTTTGCAAATTTTTTAGTCTACAACGATTTTGTCACATTTTTCGACTTTTTCCGATACCATGTTTCAATTCCATTTACCTAGCGAACAACAAATTTTAGTCTACCCGTGCTGTCTGAGCATTACTGATTAAGCTACGCAATGCATTACTACTACTCTCAGAAATTTCAATAACATCGATCCAGACCTCCTGAGTTTTTGTATGGACTCTGTATCACCTAAGTCTTCACTGTTCAGTATCTTTTTCAAACCCTTTTACCGACTTTTCCATTTTTGTTGAACTACGTAGTTTATGTAGATATGATCCTTCAGCCGTTTTCAACAGAGCATTGGGATGGATCGATTAAAAAGATAAATGTCCAAGTAGGAGCTCTAACCCCTTTAAATGCAATAGGAATTTGGTCGGTTGTGTGTCAGTAGGAACGTGATGTCATATATTAATTATAAACAATGTTTAAGCTAATAATATTCATGTCATATTTCCTCTACTGAACTTTCGGTCTGCTTTAAAATTAGTCGCCGAAAAATGTATTCTTGAGACTGAAGTTAGCATGAAATTTTGGTTTACAAACAATTTTAGTCAAAAGTTTGATAAATTTAGGTAGGACTAAACTTGTCGTTCTTAGGGAGTATAGTGTAAATAAAAGTTTTAAAAAAAAATTTTAACACAACCACGTCCAGTGTGAGGAGACGATGTGGACTGTAGTGTCCCCCGATGGCAAATATCTATTGTTGTCCGGCCCTCTGAACCCGATGAATCTTACTTTGAGGTTTTACGTTGTGTACATCAGAAACGTATTACACCATAACCTCCCCTTAGTCTTTAACAATGGTCTACCAACATTCTTTGTTTCGAAATATTTGTCCGAATGAAAGCTGTTTTTATTATCAGGTCCTTTTGGCATTATTCTGCAGAAATGAATTACTCGCGAATTATTCATACAGAGTAACACTATTTCCCTGTCCCGGGATTATTTGGTAGTACACCTGACGCCCGTCATTTGGGAAAAAATGGAAAGAAGTTTAGTAGTCGGTACTGGGTTTGTGGACAGTTAAAAGCTGCAGTCTCTCATTATTGCGACCTGAACTTGGATGACTATTGTAAAACCACCGTCACAAATACCAAAGCTGAAGTTACCATGCGATGGTATTTGCGAAAAAAAAAACTTAACAAATTGTTTCGATGAAGCAAATTGCAACGGTTACATATATGGTATCATGTGTAAAAAAGGAATTTCGCCTCACTATGTACAACCAGCACATATTGTGATGGTTATGAAGACTGCGACGATGGAGATACGAAGACGGGTTGTTACCAACTGTGAAGTTGGACCCTAAGTGTCGAAATGGTGGTTTTTAATTACTCAAAGCTTCTGCAGTGGAAACAATTGGGTTTTCCTAATACAGAACATTCACAAGATGCGCTGGTCTAAAAAGAAGCAACGGCACTTTGTTCGTTTTTGATTTCGAGTTGAAGTTTTGTTGTATAAAGTCCTTTCCCAGTGAGCCGATACACTGCGCAAATATTTTCTAGACCAAACAAACTGCACTGACGAAAAGAGGGAGTGTTTCTTACTTGCCCTGTAATGGGACCCAACGTCTCTATCCTGAAGTTATCGTTTGTAACAAATTTTTTTGAAGGCTAGTATTTTTAATGAATGGAAAATATTCTATTGTGTGACGATGGTTTTGATTTGTTAATGTCACCAACCCTCAGTTTCATGAAGAGTCCATATTCATGAGCTTTGTAAATTAACGGATATAGTTTGATTGCTGTTGAATCAAAGTGATGAAGACTCAGTCTGGCGGTGCAGAGAGATGATGAGCACCAACCGTATTCGTAGATCCTAAATAAAAATGGGAACCAAACACCCCTGCCTATATCCGGCTAAATGACGGTACAGAGGACTGTGTGGGAGGTGAGATGAACTGTACTCCTGGCTTGGACCCACCTGCCTTGTTGGCAGCTCTTTTAGGATACCTCCCTCAGGGCATTGTTTGTGAAATGTCTTCTGTGCGGGGTTGGATCCACTGAGTTTGTTAAAATCGAAGATCTATGTAATGGATTGAATACTTGTGCGGCGGAGAAAGCATTGCGAACAAACTCGCCTAAAACCAAAAATGTGATTTACACGGCTTACCAACATCGAACGAAAAGTTTGGAAAACCCGAAAAAGGAATGGGCCAAAAGTTTCTTTCATATTGTTACCAGGTGTTCCAATAGTATTGGGAAGATTTATTGAAAAAAAAATATGCCTCGCAGAAATCCTTTTGAGTTTTTCCCAGAGTAAGGTATAATTGGAGCTGTAAAAAAACAGTCCAACCTCTATCATGTTCCCAGAGACAAACTGATTGGTAGCAGCTTCTACGAGAACAGTACGTGCTGATGGCTTTTAGTAAACAGATGTTTGGGCATCCTCCTGCCTCTTAAAACTCCTACAACCTGCTGCTTGCGCTGGAGTTTACAAGGATACGAGAACATTCTCTTAACAAGAAGCGGCTCAAGTTTGAACAATTTTTGATTCCTCTGAAAAGAAATCTTAATAAATCACGAAAAAGGATTGAAAGAACCAACATCATATTTCAGGCACCAATGACCACTGATTGACTTATGATAAAGTGTGTAAACCTGGTGGATGACTGCGGGACAGCTCTGACTAAGAGATTTACCAATGTGTTTACACTGTGATAATCCAACGAGCTGATTACCCGTTTCGGAGAAGTGTAACGGTAAAGGAACAAAATTTTTTGCAGTGACTACTCCGGATGAGTGAAGTAGGACTGTGGCAAGGAAATTGTTTTCTTGGGATTGTTCTAAAAATATAACCTGGGTCATAGAACCACTCGCAGTGATCCTTAACTTAGCGAAATTTATCATTAACAATCCGACTTGTTAGTTAATGACAGAAGATTCAAGCACATTAATCAACTACTTTTAATTTGGAATGCAAATCAACATTGGAGACTTTCTTACTGGATCAATATCTGTGTCCTATTGGCAATAGTAATACCATGGTGTATGGGAAAGGTACTGCAGGCAACAAGGTTGTTTGGTTATCAGTAATATGTGCTCTTTGTCTTTCAAGGTGTCATTAGGCAAATTTGGGACACAAATATCGCCTGTTTTCCAAGAACCTTGCTGAGTATTTATCGCTTGTTTAGAAGGTTTTGATTTTAAAATACATGTTTTAGGGAGGCACCTTTCAATAACAATTGCCGTATTATCCCTACTATCACCATTCTACTAATCTCATGATGGCCATGGACCTCTCATGTCATCGTACGAGATTAGTTCGTAAATGGAATGACGTACAACCCTAACATAAAGTTGTTTCTTCCCTACTTTTACAGAGATACTCAGTGGTGTGATAAAGGGTTATAATGGAGGATAAAAGATGGACGAAAGTTCACGTGTAAGCGAATAAACACTGCTTATTGACGAAATTTAACAATGATTATGAGAAGGGAGCACTTGATCGGAGGAAAATACAGTTTTTACGGAAATGACGGTGTTTGTTCTTTTAAATATTTTTTGTGGACAAAAACGATCCGCAAAACGTTTATGTATGGTCTGTCTTGGAGTTTAATCTGTTTTGCCTTCTTATCATCA